AGGTGTCATTTCACTTTATTTGGCTAGTAACGGTTATAATGGAGTATATTCGGATGAAGATTTATTGTCGATAAATGCCATAATCTAATCGATTCTTTTTTAATTTATATTTTTTTGGTAAAAAAGAAAATCGGATATCATTCATTGTATTTCCATAAACATAAAAATGAAAAAAATTTGATTTTACGATGTATACGATGTTCATACGCAAATCAACAAAAAGGTCCTTGTGACTGTCCTAATGGAAATCTACCCCTAGTAATCCTTTGTTGACTATTAAATAACATTACTCCGAATAGACAATGCATTTTAATTTTGAATAATTTTTTATTTTTTTTTAAAAAGAAGAGTGAGAAATTAGAATCATCGCAACATTCGGTGAAATGTATATTTTAAATCCGAGAGAATTAGAATGAAAAGGATTGACTTTGGAATAACCGCCGGTAATTTCGTTACGGAAAGAATTAAAAATCATAATATATCGGAACCAATTTAGAATTAATTAAATTCTTTCAAAGGGAGGGGGATTATAAATTATTTAGAAGGAAATGAAAAAAAAAATAGGGGAGAATAGATTGCTTTTTTCGTGGTTCCGGTCGGTCTAGATTTTTTTTTTTGATTTTTCTTAAATGAAAAAATGTATAAGGGTTTTTTTTTAAATTAAGAAATGATAATAACTGAAACCGGGATTTCCCGAATGTCATTTTAACCTGATTACATAACACTGATATAAAATAATCCTTTGGATTGTCTTGAAAAGATCACGAAAAACCGATGGATATTCCCATTATTCTTGTCAATTTTTTTTTTTTAAAAAAAAAAAAAAAGAGACAACAGTAACAAACATAAATCCTTCCATTTTTGGATAATATTACCGAAATCGGAATGAAACGCACGCATTCATTGCACATGGTTCAATATTGACCAAGCAATTTAATGATTGACCTTATTATTGAAATTTCTATTTTTAAAAAGTAATCGTCAAATTTGCACGAGAAATTTCTCATTAAATGTTTCTCCCTGTTAAAGCAAATAGTTTTATAAATATTTTGAAAATTTCCTCCAAAGTGAAAAATAAAACAAAAAATAAAATCTATTATTTGGTTTCGAGTAGGATCGCAAAATAAAAAAAAAAAATTATGACAAGTTGTCAAAACTAAAAATAGAAAAGGATTTTTAATTTAAGGGGTCAATCATTGTTTACCGATTGACAAATCAAATTCGGACAGAATTTCTGGGGGGACCTTGCAATTTAAACGCTACATCCGAACATATTTCGGCCTGAAAATCATATTTAGCATATAAAAATAAATCCTACAAGTCTTGTAAATTTAATTATATTTTTTATTTTTATATTTCGATGTAACAGTTCTTTTTACCAATTTGGTTGACAAGTATTAAAACTATTGTTTGGAATAAAAAAATAAATAAAATGATGTAATATTATTTACATCGATAAATTCTTATACCAGAATAAAACGACTATGTTGGGGATATCGTTTTAATGGCATTTATGGGATTCCTTACTTCTACATTGGTGATTATCTTGCGAATTCTACGTAGGAAACGACGCTAAACGTTTTGAAACAAGATGGAAAAAATTTTAATTGGTGTTTTCATGCTTGTATGTTGTCATGTATATCTCTTTTTTTTCATTTAAATTTTCTTTGTCTTGTTCGATAAAGGAACTCTAATATGACATATATGTATTGGTTGGTAAGTTTTGTATATATGAGGAATGACATAGCAAATAAGTAAACATCAACAACCCTAAACTTAAAGTATGCATAATAGGTTAATTATGCTAAATCCGAAAACCTTTTTCTTTTATATTTTCGTCCTTTTCATACAGGTAATGTTGGAGAGAGGTTTTTTTCTTTTTTTCGTTTTTTTTTTTAAAAAAAAAAATAAATTTTGTTACACGATTTCATACATCAACGTTCGAATAAGCAATTATATTTTTATCGCGTGATTATAATATTTATTCATAATTTTTTATTTCTTAAAAATCATATAAACATCATCGTAATAAGCTGTACCTTAATGGAATGAATTAAAGAGAAAAAAAAAGGTCATAGGAGAAGGTAAACGTAAAAAGCAAAGCAATAACTTATAATATATATTCTTTTTTTTTTTTTTAAAAAAAAAAAAAAAGAAAAGAAAAAGTATTAGAAAAGTTAAATATAATATTTTTAAAAAAAATAGAAAAAAGAATTTGTTTGAAAAGGAGATATGAAAACATGCGATTGATTTGATTAAAAGTGTGAAAGAAGTTGATATTTCTTTTTACGACGATATGAATAAAGCTCTAATAAGTTGCAACGTTAGTTCGCGTTTGAAAATAATAGCGTTGAATAGGTCTAATGAATCAATCCGGTTGATTATTATGGAAACGACGATCCGAACCATCCAGATGGTAAAAGAAAGGCGTCGATATTATCGTTGATTGTTTAAAATTCCACTCCATGGAATAGGTTACTTTCGAATTCCGTTCTTGTTTCTTGTGGTATGTTTATTGAAACCATTAAATTACCAAATCCCATCGTACGAGGAGGTAACATGGCTCTGTTTATACTATTAGCCGCATGTGCCAATCTGATAAACTCCTGACGACGAAGATTTGGGCAATTTCGCCAAAGCCTTAGCGTTATTATACTTGTCAAGTACCGATTTTGCGATCGTAGTATTCGAGTAACTTCTCTCTTGACGTTTCGTTCCATTAAGGAACGTCCAGTTATTATTCTCTGGATTCGACGGTTCCTCGCAAACGCTGCAACACTTTGAGCGTCGTTGTTAAATGGAAGATTTTGAACGGCATCAATGTCTATGTTTGTAAGGATATATTGTATATCTTGTCGACGTGCCATGTTTATTACTATTTTTTTTTATTTTTTTTTAAAAAACAAGAACAAGGAAGAAAAATGAAGGAAAATAGGGTAAGTTTTTAAGCAGCGGAGTAATGATATATCTTTTATAAAAAAAAAATTTATTGTACAACTTATCAATTACATGGGCTTGGCAATGCAAAATAAAATTGATTTGTTTTACTGATCCATTCCGAAAAATAAAACTATTCATTAAAAAACTATCTATATTTATAATTTATAAATATATATCTTTATTATTGTTTAAATTTTATTTTTATTTTTAAAGTAATTTTATTTTATTTTTTTTTTTAAAGGAATTTGAATTCATATATAATTAATAATCAATTTATTGGGCTGAAATGGTCACCGAATTTATTAAATTTATATTTGTACGACAATTCCAAGGGATAAGATCTAAAAATAAGCATAGTTCTATGTAAGTATGAAAGATTTTATATGTTACGTTTTGAACATCAATTAATAAACAGTAGTATTTTTAAAAATTTCCTTTCTTTATTAACTTCCCTAATATAAGTTGATACAATGCAGGATAAAAAAAAAAAAAAAAAATTAATTAATTACAAATCATTTCACTTCGCAAAAGCTAGGCAAACTATCTTCAGTGTAAAAGTTGCACATAGATTATTGATTTGTATCCTAAAATAGGAACAATTATCATTCAAGAGCGTTTCTCCTTATTACATTTTAATAAAAGATGTTTTAATTGGTGAAATGATTAACAGCAGCTAATTTCGAAACTTTTGCCAAAAAAAAAGAGGACCAAGGAAATTGCGAGCAAAGAAAATGGATCTAAATCTGACAGATAACTTTTAATCAAATGATGTGTTCTAATTAAAATATTCCCTTTTAAATGACGCTTTATGACCTTTTTTATATATATCAAAATAAAAGGAACTTTATTCCGGGAAAAAAATTAAGGTTAATGAAAGAAAAATGGTGTATGCAAATTAAAATTAAATGCATTATTAAAACATAGCCTCATCATCAAATCATGAAACCCTTGTTTAAAATTTCAACAAAGAGTTATTTTTGCCATTTTTATTTTGTGGACGATCAACAAACATCACATGGGTGACAAAAGATTTTTGTTTGTCACATACGGATTCGGCATTGGTCCAAAATTGATTACATGTGATACTAAAATCCTTTTTTTTTTTATTTTTAATTTTTATCTCAACAATCGAGATGAAAATTTAATCGCGTCTTCTTTTTGGGGGTTTGGCAGTTATGCGGTTTGTTATTATTGTTTACTGATAAAATGCTTTTTTGGTATAATTGAGTTCGTTATTTATTTATTTACTTTTTCATTTGTCCATAAATGTTTGAATTAAAAAACATGGGGTGAGAAATTTACCATCAATTTTACGGTAAACCTGATTTTTGCCTTGAAAAAATTCTGCCAAAAGAAACATACAAATCTCCATATTCCATCTCGTTTATCATGTTCCATCGATCTTTACACAAGTTTCACGTAATTTTGGTACCAATAATAAACAATTTCTTTTATAACCATATTCAGCACCTTTTTGACAAGGAACTTCCTTCCTTTTTTTTTTTTGATTGCCATTCAAATTCTTTTTTATATCTCTCATTGGTTCTTGCAAATATTAAAAATGGAAAAATGATGATCATTTTTAAGCTTCTACACATTTTTAATTTAGGTGATACGTTATTGCCAGTGCGTCGCCCACAATTGAAAAAAAAACGCAGATTATAAATATTATAAACCAACCAACAATGGTTCGCGGATTTTTATTGTTTAATTCCATCGTAATTTGGATCTGCAATTACAAAGGTTTTTTTTTTTCTTCCTAATAAATATTGGTTTTGATTTTTGCAAATCAAAAAAAAAAAAAAATGTCTTTTATGCACAACATTTGCTGAAAAATTATTTATTGATAAACCAACAACAAATTAATTTTATTTATTATTATTATTTTTTTTTTATCAACTTAAATCGAAACAAGCATGGAGGAAGGGAAGGGAAGGGTAAGGAAGGTACATTAAGGGCTTAATAAAAAGGGGGATTAATTTTCAAAATAATAATTTCTACCTATCTTACAAATCATATATAAAAACTTTAAATGAATGAATTTTTTTTTTCTATAATCTTCAATTGGCCCAAGGATCCAGGGAGCACTTGTCGAATCCGTTATCACCATTAAATGCGAACCCGTTGTTGATATCGTCACCTAGAGTGTTATTAGTAGAAGTGAGGTTGTTATTATTGTTGTTATTACGTCCGGCTGGATTTTGATTTTGTTGTACGGGTTGTCCGTGAGGAAGAGAGCGAGTAGGAGGGAGAGGAGTTACATTAAGGATTGGTGTTGGTGGGAGGGTTGCATGGTTAATGTTGGTCATCAACAGACGAGTGGGTAAACCCACATGAAACGACCTAGAAATGTTACGTGAAATTTATGCGTTTCTCTGGTAATAAAAACTTTGAACGACGCCGGCTAATTGACTGTAATGACGTTTTTCCTGATAAGTAGCACGAGCCCAATAGAGAGAAGCCTCCCTGTTAATAAGGAATTTATCATCAAACCCCAGCCTGTTTGCTTCGTTAGCAAAATTAATCTTAAAGATATTATAAGCATGCGGAAGAGTGAACGCTTGACGTCTCTGTCCCAAATGAATCTGCAATATTACATTAGGGTCGTCCAACGTTGGAGGGAAGAGATTTTGGGGATTGATGCTACTGCGTAACGAAGCGCTCATACTGCTAGGTCTAGCTAGGGCTTTTTTTAGGGTCGTTTCAAGGCCAAGTGAAGTTTATTTAATATTTATGATGACCGTTGGGTGATAATTGTTAGCAATGATACCGCCGTAATATTTCGTAAAGAGGGTGTATTTATATAATTCAAATGTATGTATATTCGGTATAGTACATTAAATCATATAACCGAATCCGAATTATTGTTTTAAACCGCTGTCAAAACGTACCGTTTACATGCATCATCATCATATAATTTAATTAATTAATTTTTTTTTTAATTTAATAAATTTGAAAGGTGTGTGACCAATTAATAAATCGGTATCTAAACAAATCGGTAAATTTATCTCCCCACTTACCGTTTATATTTTCCGTTATAGGACGTATTTGATTATCAACAATGAACATTATGAACATCTGTCCCTCAAAGCTGGTAGTCAGTTTGTTTACATCGGGAAATGCATCCAAAAGTAATTCTTTGCAATTTCTTTGTTTCCTCAGTTGATGTTATTTTTTTCTCCTAAATCACTACTACTTTTACTCTTTGCATCTCATTTTAAAGGAGTAATAAAAAACTTGGGTAAATTCGCTTCCGATTATGTACTAAAAATAGTAACTACCGATGCATGTCAATTGACTTGTATATAACCGTAGAAATGGTTTGATTTCGGTCAAATTTACTAAAAAAAAAAAAATTAAAGTCTTTAAAGGATATAAAGGGTTTTATGATTATATTTATTCAACTCTCATTACCCTGTAATCTTATTAACATTTATTTTTTTTAAAAAAAAAAAAGGAAAAAATAGAAAAGGAAACAAAAATAAAAACCAATGATCATAATAAATATCATAATCATAATCATTATCATAATCAATAATCAATGATAACGTTGTGGCGCAGTAATCATCAGTGAAACTCCGTTAAGACGAATAGATTCTTTTATAGTAATTTCCTTTTTTGTTAGAGAAGTAAAAATGATGGAATTTTTTTAACAAATTTATTCTTGCGAACGAACGATTTTTAAGTAGGAAAGGGAATGTTTTACTCCGAAGAAAGTCTGAAAGAAGGGATCCAGATATATAAAATGAATTGACTCGTGCATTATTATGCACGAAAAATCGATTGGAAATCATCCTCGTCTTGCCACTCCACTCATGAACTTACTAATTTGCGAAAATGCGTTCTTTGATGGATCATGTGAATTGATAATATGCAAAGTTCGGTCACACCATGATTTATCAATGAGAAACGGGCCACAAATTGATTTCGGTAAATCCCTTTTTTGAAATGAATATTTTCCATGACAAATGTTTGATGTAATCGGTACAAAATTTTATTTTTGAGTGGCCAATGAAATCCCATCAAGAAAGAACTTGCACATCAAACAAAATTATATTAAGTGCATCATCTTTAATTAGAGAACCGGAGAATTCTACGCGTAGCAAATTAAAGCAAGCCTTAACAGAAACAATGATAAGATGAACAATGATAAAGGTAACGGAAGTCAATGCTTCTCAAACGAGGGTTAACGGAATTAGGATGCCCTTGTCTCGACTAAATCTGCCAAGGTCTGGACTTTAGGTCTGGACCTTCCCCTAAGGCCTAAGGAAGGATGCATTTGACGAAAAGATCATCAAACTCCACTCCTGTCTTCCTAGAATGTATAAGGGAACAATCAGGTCATGTTTCGTCATGTCATAAGCTTTGAAAATCCCGATTAAGCATTCTTTTAATAAGAAATTAATTTTTAAGTTTTAAAAAATAATCGATGTGATGGTACGACATTCATTTTGAAACTAATTTGGTCATTACATTGAAATCAACTTGCATACATATTATGAGTTAAATGAATTTGGAAATTTCTTATCCAAAAAAAATTTATTAATAATAAAAAGATCGATGGGTTATTCATTCTATTCGTTCTATACAATATTTTCGGAATACAAATGAACTTTTGATAACGCGGCCTGCGTTGTAACATTGAAAGAGGAGAAATTTTAAAAATAAATTATTTAAGGCTTAAATTTTGAACCGAATATACCGCCTCACTTAAATCAAGTCGATAAAGGGCCTTTGAAAAGTGTTTAGTTAAATGAAACATGTCACGGCATGATAAAGGAATGCCAATGATTCGTAAGCATGATACGTATTAAAAAAAAAAAAAATAAAATAAAAAAATAAAAATAAAATGATTGACGATATAAACTAGTAACCGGGGAAGGCTAATTCTCAGCCACACTTAAAAATAAGTGAGTGAAATGCGCCCCATTTGCCACTCTTTTTTTTGTTTGTAAGCAATTTAATTTAATTGTAACCCTTTGTTAGCGTTTGAAATAATTTTATTTGTTTTTTTTACGTTACAGTGAATATCTTTAAATGGAATCCAAATAATAATTAATAATCACCGCTTGTAATTTTAAAGTGCATACATTCGGGAAAGATTCTTATTTTCATTGTTATATGCGCGTACTTTATAAATATATATGCATATATCAAAAATCGAAGATATATGAGCATTAGGCGAATTTATATATATTTATACTAGGTAGTCTCAACTGCTAAATTATGATTATGGTATAGTCGGGCTAATTCCATAATTTAAAATAAAGATGACCTATCGGAATATCTTGAAAATCTGAATTCTATAGATTCATTCCCTGATTTTAATTTTGATTCTATATCTATTCTTTAATGTTTCCTAAATAAAGCAATTTCTTGTTTATGGATTTTTTTTATTCACGGCAGACTTTTATAAATAGTACATGTTTTCCTCTTTTATCAAATCCTTGTCATTGAAAAAAAAAAAAAAAAAGACACGATCAAATAAAAAATCATACGAGTAAGCTCTTCTGACAATTACTTCAAACGAGTTCTTTTCACATATTTTAAAGCGGTTATAAGATCGTTTTTTAAAAAAGATAATATAAAAAGTAAAATCATTGTCAGAAACTTAAAAAACACAATGACCGCCCCAAATTTCTCTTTAGAATTTTTAACAAATAATTTAATTGAAAAAATCGATAGGAAGAGAATTTTCCCTCCTCATTTAAACGATCCGGTGGAGTTATTAGCTTTTAATCGTGCTAATCGACCATCTCGTCCCCCTAATGGATTTCTCCTCTGTCGTAAGAACGTTAATAGTATCGCAAAAGAGGTAGGAATCGCTAATATGCGGGTTATTAGCAAAGTCGCTGGGATATTTTGGAGGAGTGCCACTCTAGAAGAAAAGGAAATGTACGAAAATTTAGCCATCGAAGTCAGCACCGTCTATACTCAAAGAAATAACATCGAAGTAAACAATCAATCTACTTTTGTGAGAAGGATTTCGCCAATGTATATGCCTTATTATATCCAAGAATCTCCACGTTTTAACTCGTATTTTAATGACATTAATGCTCAAATGATTACCCAAATGGCATACCCTCTCAACACGAACTTTTTGTCGGGAACGCTTCCTAATGGATTTGAGTTGAATAACGAAACAAATCCTCTCGTAACCGAATTTCCCTTACTCAATGGATCATCCGAATACTTCAATACTTTTTTTGAACAATAAATTTTTCGAAATACTACTACTACCTTCTTTTTCGTTATTCAATTCATTACAATTTTACAATCTATGATTTTATTTTCTTATTAATGAAACGATTTTCGCCATATAAATTTTTATTTATTTTTTTTTTCTTTTACGGAATATTAATTAAGCTTAGATAATTTATGATGTTACATGATAAGGAAAAATTTAAGAAACATATTTTTAAGAATCAATGAACTTTAAGACTTGTAAGATAAAAATTGACAGATAAAAAAATTAAAAAAATCGTTTGATAAAATTTCCGCAAGTTTTTGATCCTTATGGGTCGCGCAAGAATTTTATTTCCTTCATATAAAAACCACTAAAAATAGCGGCGAATACATTACACAAGTTGATAATCATCTTATATTTTTTATTTTTATTACATAATAAGTTAGTTATTATTTACAAAATCATATCAAAGATGAGGTTTGTGACCTAAAGTTGGAATAATTGAAAAAAAAGTATTATTTTTATTGTTTGTATGAAAAGAAAAAAAGAAAAAAAAAACATTACAAGACGTGTGATGAATGAACTATTCTTATGATTCGTTTATGACAATAAAAATGTATGTGAATTAATATAAATAACGCATAAGGGATTCCGCATAAAGTTCTGTATACAGAATTTTTTTTTTTTTTTTTTAAATTGAAACAGGTTACTATAACCAATGATGTCAAATTAATGAATAATATAACCTATTACTAAAAATTCACAAATCTGTGCCTCGTAAAATAAATTCATTTCTTTGTTTGCAAAGAAGAAATGAGGTTTAAAGAACATTTGGATGAACAACTTGAAGGATGTTGTGTTGATCATTTTATAACAAACAAACAATCAACTACGACGCTTAATAATGTAGTCATAAACTTTTTCTCTTATAAAGAATCTTTCATGACGGTAAAGATTACAATGCAGTGTAGGACCCATATCGGAATTCAACTTGTTTTATGCATCACATCATTTTTGACTAATCAAACTAATACGGATAGGACCAAATATGACCAAAGCACCGAAAATGACTCTTTCAATTTCTGCATGATTAATTCACAGTCATGTCGTGTCGAATTGGTTTAGGTAAGTGTGATACAAACCCACGTGGAGATCTCCGAAGCCCGGTTTTTTTAAAGCATACAGACGAACTATTTTTTTTTTTTTACTTGGTTATATTTAATGATGGCAAGCTTTGATAATTAAAATTTCCAAGTTGAAATGTCAAAGAGAAAAATATTATTTTATTCATCGACACGGAACTAAAACTCTCTTTAACCAATCATAAGTAATTACGCGCGTGTCGTATACCGTAATTCGAACCGTATGCCATAATTTATGCCGTATGCCGTACGTAATTCTTGCCGTAATTCTGCTTGTTATGTGTTATAATCATTACTGTGAGATGCATTGACAAATTACCTTAATATTACAAGTTACATCCCTCACAAAACATAAAGTTTTTGTGTTCACCGGATGCGAAGAGATATTTTAGCAAAAGTGTCTCTCGTTTTGGTATCTACTAGAGGTTCCTTGAATATTTTCTGCTGTCCTTATTTTTTAAACGCGATTTCGAAAATTGTGTGACTACCCAAAATATAAAGAGTCCATTCGTAATATTCTTGTAAGCATTTTGTTATTAATTCAATATATAATTACTGTATATTATGCAATATTTTTATAAATGGTGATTTATTTAATGTGAAAATCTTGGATTAAAGCATATTTGTAAACAACCGGCGACACCAAGAATTAAATGGGTTACTTGTTGATTTTAAACTCATTTTACTTTTCATGCCTTTTGCAATAACAACTTAATAATAACTCAATTTTTGATTTGTCCGTTTCTCCCTTTCATTGCGGAGGAACCATAGATTTCATGCCAATTTTTCAAAATGGATGAGCGAGCTTTCTTAAATATTTTAAGATTCTGTTCACGATAAAAATACCTTGGTTGTAATCACGTAGTCTGTCCCAATTTCGAAAAATTGTGTAATTTTTGGTTAACTGCGACTATTAACAAGATTACTGGGACCCAACTCTCGAGAAATTTTTTTCATACGTACTGTACATGATCTGGGTCGCGTTACATTTGGCTGCCTTGAATGTAACACGACGAACCTTTTCATAAAAAGTAAATTACGAGATCCGTGCGTATGCATTGCGAAACCAACATGAAATAAAATTGATAAGTTTAATATTATAGCTAAAAATCGCGGAAGTTTAACGTACAAGGATTGGAGATTTGTGTAAATAAATAAATAAAAAACCAAAAATACATTAAACACAAAATAAAAAAATAAAAAAAAAAAAAAATACAAGCGCACAGATAGGCGTAAAATCTTGATATACTATGTCTCGTGACTCGATTTTAGTAGCGATCGATGATCAAAAAATATTGTTTTATAAATAAAAAATCACTTGATCCATTGTATCCCAAAATGCATAACCTTTGTGATTTTTTCATAGATCGTTTCAATAAATAAGATAAACGCATTTGGTCACAGCAGCATCTTGTGTATTTATTTATTATTTTTTTTTTTATGTAAAATCTCTGGAGTACCTATAAATTTATAAATAGTCGTTAGTCATTTCTAATAAAAGGAAAATAAGTTACAATGGTATAACAGTAAGTGCCACAGAACCTTTTGATGCTTTAAAGCATAGACCAAAAAAATCTCCCATTTTCTAATTTAAGGGGATCAAATTCCCAGTTTCTGTGGAAAATAAATAATATTTATGATTAAGTAATGTTATTTATAACACTTACTAACTTCTTTGACATGAATTTTCGTTTTACATAAGTTGGTTCATTACTTTGTACAACAAGGTCAAGTAATGCTCCATGTAAATGTGAAAGGATTTAAACAAAAAATTAATCTTGCAAGGTATTATATAATAATACTTACCACTACCATAAATAAATTATGTTTTTTTTTTTTTCTAATTAATAATAAATTATTAATTAAATTGCATATTGTAAATATTTCCCATTTTATACATTGATATGCATTTATGTTTTTTAACGAGAAAATACCTTCCCATATCCTTTTAAATAATGGGAATAACATTAATGTTTCTATGTTTCTATATTATTAGGAAACCGAAAACTGTTGTTAACTCCGGAATACATGATATAACGAGCCGGATTTAATTGCCGGGTCACACAACCTTGTAAGGAATTTACATATAGATGGTGACAATTAGACTTGGTAAAGCCGGGATGTGACATGATTTGACAAATTTCCTAATCCCCAATAAATCCGGCTACCATTTTTTTATTGTTCCTGGCATTTGCAAATGTCCTCGTGACTCGAATTTTTACAAGTAACATTTGTTTCTATTCAAATCATGTTACGTATCATATAATTACTGTCTCGTAACTCGATTTTATTAGAAAACCTTCCATTGATCAAAATCCTGATTACGTGGAGCAACAGCAGGATAAGTTCTTCTTGAGGAAATGAATTACCTGGTCGTATCCGAAAGCATTATAAGGTTAGCAAGTAACAATTAATTTTTAATTTATTTTATCCAAAATTTAATCGCAAAACTATTAGATTTTCAAAGATTTATTAATCAATATTTTATCTTGAGAAAATGAATTTACTTGCAATTAATCCCTCATATGCATATGTACGAATCCCACTGTACAATTTTCAAAGGGTAAGTAATACCGAAATTCTAAACCTTAAATCTTTCTAAACTAAAAGGTCGAAAATCAAGACTATCGTCGAAATTCGAGGTTAATTTTTCAGTCCATTTACAGTATTTCTAATTTAGGCCGATAGTTCCTGCCGGAATTAAGAAATTACAATCTAAATTTCTCGTTCCGGTCAGTAGTTCAATCTCAAAGTTATGGTCGGATTTGAAAATGTTTTAATTTATTAATTAATTAATTCAAATGCTCTCTTCCCTCTAATATTTTTCAAGAAAATAACAATAAACATGTTCTTCAAGGAACCGTTACCAAACGTTTTTCCTAAAGGAGACGTAAAACAATAATTAACGCTTCTCAAGCTCATCTGGTCTTCCTGACCAAGTTTTCACCGAGTTTACGAGTTAAGTTTAAACACTTTATGCGCAAGCATTTGTTTCCAATGTAAATGAATAATTGCATCAATCAAGTCGTCATCATGACTAAATTTAATATAGTAACCAACGTAAGCATGATCAAAGGAGAAAAAATTAAATAAGAATAAAACATCAAGGCTGCCGTATTGCTTTCGGTATTCATAAAATCAATATTGGTAGGCCAACAAGCCAAAGCGATTAATACGAAGATCAACATAGGATCATCAATAAGCCAGTTTCTCACAGTTAAAGTCAATAAACCACCAATAATAGGCATTAAGAAGAATCTACAAGACATAATGAATGAAATCGATTTAATTGTCTCGCGTTCTTTGAGGTTCGTTGCAAATCCGGATTGTGCACCAATATTTAAAAGTGTCAATGGAACCGTCATTGATGCTATACATTGCATTGCGCGTGTAATGTTCCTGTGAAATGAAGCTTCTTCAAAGAAAATGTTCTTGAGTGAAGGAATTGTACCAATTATTATAGCTAATATGCCAGCATATAATGGTGGACTCATAACACTACTCAGCGTTTTAAATAATTTTTTACATTTGGATTTAGATCGAGCCGTTATTAAAGGAGTTGTTTCGTCATAATAAATCGGTAAGGTTTTTAAATCATTTTTGGTAAATTTTACAAGCTTTTCTTTTGAAAAGATCAGATCCAAGATGCATCTAAAATTAAAATCTATCATTAATAACGAGGAGATCTCATCATCGTGTCACATGATACAGTGTGATAAAACCGATGACGATAATACAAACAAAAATACCTCGTGATCAAAACGAAGAGCGTAGATAGTAGAAGGTAAGTAATACCACGTGTCACAGTTTGCTCAGGCGGTTCATCATCATCACATGCAAATAATCGTATTACATTAGTGTTTGCTAGGACTTTAATGAATCCTACAGGTAAACTCGTTATATTATTAAACGTAATTGAACGTTCAACAAACTTTTTATTTGAGGAGCTTAATCTCAAAAGTTTTGAACCGAGTTTACTAAAGAACGTTCCGATGGCAATGTATATTATACAAAAGAATGCTAATGGCCATAGATTTAATAACATCGAAGCTGATATATTACTTCCAATTTGGGAGAATAATAAACACGGTAAGAAAAGATTCATAACTAGTTGTGCTAAATTCTATAAATAAATAAGAAAAAAATGTTGTGTTAGACACCGTAGGAATTTCATCCAAATTTCGTTTAGAAAAAGTACCTTTCGTATCTTTTGAGAGATTATTCCGGACCTTGAGCCTATGTAACCAATGAGCACTATTCCGATGACAAGACCTGTAGACTAAAATTATTATAATTTTCGATTAGGTTATGTACGTTCGTAATCTTATCTTTGTTCATGATATATAATAACTACCTCAATCGAAGCAAGAAGGAGCGAAGATAATTTTATTGAAGGATCCATTTTGAAATTCAAATAATCCAAGTTTTTTTTTTTTTTTTTTTTTAAAAAAAAAAATCAATTAATTTATGGTGATTTGCATAAAGCGTATAATATATACTATACTGTACTTTTATCACTGATAAGATCGATGCGATTACATTGATTGGACAAATTTGTAAGTTATTGACATTATCTATGTGAAATGATTCGTTCCTTGATATCTTTATCAAGTTAAAATATCAAAGTACTAAAAAGCGAATTTTTTTTTTTTTATTTATTCGGAAATCATAAGTTGTATAACGAATGGACAAGTTTTTCATTTTTCTTTTTTTAAAAAAAAAAAATAGATTTGCAAAACAAATACTTAATTTCGTTTCATGATACGAGGTGGCTTTTCCAATGTCGTCATATTTTTTGTCGAACTCACAATTTTCTTGTGAATTGAACAAAATGTGATCAACTCCTTAAAAAAATAACACGTTTTACCAATCAAAACCGGTTGAAAAACCGAACGCCGCCTTTTCCATTAGGTAATCTTATGATCTCCTATTTGCTTTTGAATCAAACAAACGAGTTTGATTTTTAATGTATAGGGTTCATTAATTACAATTATTTTTTAAAACTGAAAAACAAATATTAATGATATTTAATTGAAACATTTGATCATTTAAACCTATTTCGTTATATCTATTTGATCAAAAGGAGCGACCTTTCCTTGTACTTTTTATGGAAAGTAGGCGTAATGGCTGCGTGATGAGTTTGCAGCTTTCATCATATATATCATCATTTTTAAGTATAGTATTGGTGTGATCGAAGATAGAAAGTATTTACTATCAACATGTAATGCGCGTTTCATTAACATGCCGTGCAGCAATACCGCAGCATATACAGTAATTAATATATTTCGGTTAAATTTGTAAATAAAATGTGAAAACGATATAATGAAATAAATAATCGTTCCTGTTTTTTTTAACCTAAATGTACTAAAAATTCCCTTAGAGATCCGAATTCAACAATGAGTTGTCGTTTATTCTTTTACCAGACCAGATGGATCATAAATTGAAGATATTATTTTAATTCATTATAAGAAAATCTTCAACTAATGTGGAATTATTACGTAGTCGGATTAGAAAATTCTGAATAAACTTATTTTTTAATACTTTGAATGACAAATCGCTTTTAATACCCGTCCAAAGTCATTTATATCGTTATACTTATAATACGCGCGGACTAACATTCCATTGATCCGCATGCTCCGCGCAATGATACCTCTCAAGGAGAATCTCCGTGAACTTGGACTCGGTAATTCTGGATTATCAATGTATATTGGGAGTCGTATATTTGCCATGTTTGTGATCCAATATTCGGATCCTATAACTAGTGTACCAAGAATTATTGCTATCAATTTGTCGCCTTTTACGGCTAAATCGTGACAGTAATCTAGAATTCTTGTTTTCCCGCCAATTTGATTGCGCAATTCGATTGCCAAATTAGAGCTATGCGCACGTCACGTATATATGCTCTCATAACATTTCTACCAAGGAAATTCGTCAACAAGACCGATAAGACGAAAAGCGTTCGTAGAGGCATCATCTACAAGACTTTGGTTTCTTATTGGAATATATTTCCTTGAGCAGAGAAAAGCTATTTATGGCAAATTGTGGCAAAGCAATCAGGTTCAAGTTGTTTAAGGTTTAACGGTATTAGCCCGATAGCGTCGAGCTTTAGACAGCCAAATCACAACGAAATCATTTATCAGGAGCCGTAAGAATATTTGGTATAATGATCAAGAAGAAAACTGGAAACGCATTGAGCGTTCGAAATTGAGAGTTTTATTGGAACACCATTAGCCTTTTTTAGATCGACAGTGTTACATATGAATAATGTTTCTCAATCCAATTGTTTGTAATGAAAAATAAAAAAGTTTTATTACCTAGCATACTCGTCAGATACAAAAAAAACAAATAGAACGAATTTTCTTTGCTATCCCCGCAAAAAGTGAATTGAATACTAAATTTGGTGAATGTAGATTATTTCGCGCTATAATTGAAATTCATAATTGAAAGAGAACAAACAAAATTTAAATTCTCCAAGTTTATGTATAAATGCAACGAGTAAATGCAGTTCTCACCAATTATACCACATTAATAATACAAAACTTTACCATCTATATACGGATTCCGTCCAAAAACGTGAATACGTCTTAAGCTAATCCCAATACGGAATTTGATTTCGGACTTCCAAAATTGCTAAAATTAGGCGGTGCTACTTTTAGAAAAAAATAAATTTATAATTGCATACTTGTTTATTGTTAATAATGAAGAGAATTTTAAAACCCAATCGAGTAATATAATACATTATTGTTTATTTATATACGAAACTGGTACAAATACATATTTTACTGGTACATGACAAATATTTCCATTCTTATTTATAATTTGTAATTCTAAAAATAAAAAATATTGATAAATCGTAATAAAAGTAAATTTACTTGTAGGCAAGTGTCACTCTCAATGAGAGAAATTATCATTACCCATTATTTTTGATCCATTTTTTCTGATTTTTCTAAATATTCTACATCTACAACATATTCCTTTAAAAAAATTTCAAGGGAACTTGCAATTCTTTAAATCCTTGGGGAAAAGAATTTGACTTCGCCATCAAGGAAGAAGCATCAACTAATGGAAGTAATGGAAGAGTATTTTATGTTTGTTATATGTCCTAAAGCTTAATCCACAGCAATAAACTTGCATACAAACCCAAGGCTGCATTACCGTTTTAATATATTTACCAAATAGAATCGTATATGATGTCATGGCTATACTACAAGCACGCCCAAAAGAGCAATCACGTCAAATACCTTTTTTTTTTAAAAAATGAAATCAAATAAATATAAAATTAGGTTTATTTACACCCGAAGTGATCATTTGGATAACCTCATTTCGGATATCCCCTGTTGTAAATATCAAAAAACTTACATTACGTACTCTAAAATGATGGCGTAGGATGTCAATTGTTGTTAATAAAAGTATTATTTTTTTTTGCGAACTATCAATTTTCTAACTCACCTTCGTTCAGTTTCTATTTGTATGCGATGAATCATGAAGGTTAAACCAATTTTATTAAAATATGCTTCGGGTTTAGTACGTAGGTTATCAGGTAAAGAATAGCTCCCTGCTATGATTAAAAACTAGGAAACGGGATCCCAAAATCGGAGATTTCATTGGTTGAAGATTACGTGAGCCGGACAGAGGAACTAAATAATCACGTGACCGAAAATTTTCATAGCGCATATAGACATATATTGTCCTTCGCTTCTCTCCGGACAATTAGTTCTTGGAGCATTTAATAAACAAAAAGGAAACAAAAGGTACTTATTGAACCATTACTTGATAGTAATCAATATCGAAGATCAAATGATGTCCTACGTCAAGAAAGATTATCGTTGATTCAAAGAATTTTGTAATAATGCACCTTCTCTAATTCAAATAGAAATCAGGAGACAAATTTTATTAAATAATTAAAGAGCTTTTGAAATTTTTACATTAGATCCTTTACTGTGATCATAAATTTTTCAAGGTCATAAAGAAAACGAGTTCTTCAATTTGTCATGATTCACTGAGGTGGTCAGTCAACTAAGTAAAACAAAACTATATGTGGTTATCTAACATTCAGTAGCTTAAATTAAATTTTTTTGATCGAAAATTGATAACATAATATCAATAACAAACTTTATATAAATGCTAATTCATGTTTTTTTTAGATGCCCAGATCGATAAAGCAACTTCTTTCCCAATTATTTTGGTATAACTAGTTTTTATGAAATATGATTACAAAGTTACGAAGAGTTATTTACATTAACCAATAAACTCTCTACATTTAACATACTTAAAAATTCATCTATTTATTTAAAGCCAAATATTGGATTCTTTATATTGAATGATACAAATGACTTCGTAACTTAATTTTTCAGATTGTAATTTCGAAAAACTAAACTATCTATCTAATTAAGAGGTGCAGATATCTATCAATGAAGAGGCATCTAAAACATAACGAACTCTATTAATATAACTTCTTCGGGCCAGTTAATAATAATAGTTTAAGAAATCCGATTGAAAGGATCGACAAAAAAAAAAATTCGATCAATGATTTACGTACAGTACTTGGACGATAACAGCTCCTGTTTAGAAGGATCATATGATTTACTATATCTCGTGAGTATAATATGGGTTTAGATATATAACAAATCAAATCGTATTTTTGCTTTATAATATTTGTTCCTTCTTTTCATTCTAAGATTTCCATCAATCACCAAAAATGTATTCTTCTGTTTCATCCCTATGTAAGAATATAAATTCAAATCCGGATGGTGACAAAAAGATTTACGACCACGTGTCGTTTATTTATTGAATAAATTTTTAGTTTTTTTTGGAATATTTATTATGTGTCATCCGAAACGTGAAAACGATAAGACAAGGCGAATAATTATTACATTTTATTTTATATATTGGCAATTAAATAATCATTAAACCGAATATTCGATGTATTATCCCTGCAACTAGGCTCAAAAAACTTACAAATAACGTCATTATTAGAATTAATGTGAAATTTGTCCCTATTGTCGTGAAATACATTATCTAATTCCAAGAGAAAATGTGGAATAGGAGGAAACAAACAATTAGATTATGAGAAATCCTATTTAGTAGCTTTCAAAAAGAAATTATTTAGCTTACGAGAATAACAAATTGAGACACGTCTTCAAGTAAAACCATAATTAATCCAATTATAGATAAGCATTTCTTTGCATTCTCTTTAATCGGAGCATTAAATGCATCTGAGTGTAAGAAATTCGATGTAATTATCCCCAAAATTTCTATATGAAATATTGATAATAATGCGAATGTTGTCGCTACATGGTGTCTTGGTCTCATCCATTCTCTAAATTCCCAATCTGTTTTCGCTTGACTTAAAATGAAGATAAACGCAATCAAAAGATTTAATCCTGATGTTCCGAATAATACTATTATGCTAAAAAAAAGAAAGAAAGAAAAAGGAATTAAACAGGATCCTACGAAGAAAGGTCTTTTAAGTGAAGTTTAAATACCTTGGAAAAAATAATTTTCGAACTTTTGAAACATATTCTATTAAAAAAATTACATCAAAAATCATATCAATTATGAATAATGTAAATATAAATATGATCGAACTTCTTCCCTAAATACATTATAAATTACAAATTAATACACATACATTTATTTTTTTTTTTAAAAAAAAGAAAGTTAAAAGTAATTATTACTTGGGGAAATTTAAGTCGAGCATAGAGGTAAAAAATCACAAGACCTATGATAAATCCGGCCACAATTAATAAGAACACTATTTCCGCTTTTGTTAATGAAACTACAGAAGTAAAATTTATAATTTAAAAACATTTTTTATTTTAAAAATATATACATATATTGAAATTATATAAACATACTAAAATAATTGAAAATTCCTTTGAAAAAGTCTATAACGTCTTGGATCATTTTGAAAGTAAATAAACGTACGTATCAAATAATTTTAACTTTTTTATATATTTTCTGTGATTACAAAAAATTGATAATTTCTAAAGAATGATTATAATCGGATATGTTCTTAAAAGTGGTGATAAAGAAATTTGCCGGTGGGGTGTTCTTAACGTACGACGTAACCAATATCACCTGAGAAAATTCATCTAAATTTAGTTGTATTTATAATTAGTCCGGAACGAAGTGAAGGACTATGTATGTACAGGTCTAAGGTTACACTAGGTGTCCCGTTGTCCTCCCGCTCAATAAATTGAGTCGATGCTGACTGGCTCTTGCAATTGCACAAAAGTCTGGATAAAGTACCGGACTTAACAGCGGTCCCCCGTTTCCCTAGTAATAATATGCGCCAATATACATACGCAAACTGGATATCAAATAAGGTTGTTCATCATAAGATGGAATCCAATAATTCTTTCTTTAATCCTCGCCTAATTATTTTTCTTGTATGTTTAGACAAATCTATAAAATATATAATTAGGTAAATTTATTTTCCTTAACAATAATAATAATATTATTATTATTTTGTTAATAATATTTACCATGTGATTGGGAATACCATGCCTATTAGATATGAGGAATTCTTTAACCAAACCAGTAACTGGTATGATTGAATCAAGTGTACCATTTTTAGATTTGAATGGATTATTTTCTATTATAGATGAGGGACGAAACCCCTTAATAATACAGTCGACTCTGGATATAACGAACCTGCCGTTCCAGAAGATTTGGTTCGGTATAAAGTGAGTTCGCTATATGAAAATCATGTTTTTATACCGAACTGTTCGGTATATAAAATTGACCAATAAAAATACAGACACGTGATCACTTCGTAACAATAAAATTTATCAATTTATTATATTAAAAGACGATATTGCTGTGCAAGACTAACATTAGTTTTAAACTAGTGTTGGCAAAATATATTATCCGCGTTTTACATAACTTATAGTGTTAAACATTTTCAATTACACAATTTCATATGCTAAATTTTAAATCACGTGATCGTTCGGTATATCAAATACATGGCTCAATATACATGTTCGGTTAAGATGTGTTCGGATGCGGTATATAACGTTTTATTATATGAATTCGTTATAACCAGCGTAATCAATTATAAAAAAATCGGTTCTGTAACACATGGTTCGGTATAATAAGATTTCGGTATAAGCAAGTTCGTTATATCCAGAGTCGACTGTAGTCTAAACTCAGACGAAACCATATTATAATTATAATAAGGGATACGACGTAACCCTTCCGATACGACGAATGCCGAAACTGTCGAAAATATATTAAAAACATCGAAAAGGTATGACGAAATTATTTGAGGAGGTTTCGGCAGGCATTTATATTTTCTATATATATATATTTATGGGTCTTTATTTTCTACGCACCTGCACAAAATGTAGGGTGTGTTATATAAGTGTGACAAATAAAATTTTTCTATAAAAAAAATTCTCTGTCCCCAGAATAAACCGTAAAAATGAAACACGTAGGTGTGATACGTTGTGATAAATAACCCCTAACCCTAACCCTAACCCTAATCCTAATACCAACCTAACCCTAACTCCGCTTCAACATATATAAATATAGGGGGGTGCATTTTGTGCAGGGTGCGCAAAATACAAATTCTCTATATTTATTTACTTATTTTATATAATTTATGCAATCAAAAAACAAAAAAAAAATATATATATATATATATATATTTTTATTACCTGAGTCAAAAGCAATTAAATAAATTAAAATAACAGATGTATTAGCAAACACATCTATTTCTATACTTGAATCAGCGAATCTTATATCTTGTGTTAATTTATTATCATTGGAAAAAATTTTCATCTAAGTACCGTTCTCTATTCGTTGAATAAGCTGTTGCATTAATTTCACCTACATAATAGTAAATTTATAAATTAATATCCAATATATTTATGTAGATATATTTTTTTTTAAAAAAAAAAAATTTATTTTAATACTTCACTGATATCTGAAAATAAAAATGTTTATTTAATAAATATATCTCACAAATGACTCATTTTTTTTTCGTATGTGCATACCAGAAAATGGTATTTCGTCGGCTACTTTGGGTCACTATGAATCTCATCTTGAATTATAGAAATCGTGTACGATACAAGAAAAATTAGTATTAAAGTCTTAATACAAGTTCTTAAATCATGAACGAATTTAGTCGACGTTGTGATCAAATCATTGTCAATGCATTGATTGTTATTATAAAAAAGAGATTGATAATTAACTTTTGCAAAAGAATAGATTATTGCACTTATTCATATTTTCGAATTTAAAAATTTTTTTGAAATATTAATTCATTTTTTGTTTTCTCTTTTAGAAATACAGTAAATCCTGTAACTGATTACAATCATCGTTTTTTAGCCCATTTTGTTAAATTAATCGTAACTGAAAATAGTACTTGTATACTGCGTACATAATCATATCATACGCAGATCAATTTTACAATATATTTCACGCCTTTTTTAGTGAATCTTAAAAATATTCTGCAAAATTTTTTGAATTCAAACTGCGATTTTTTTTTTTAAAGTATTTAATTGAACAACTTAACAACATATTTCAACTTTGTATTATGAAGGGTGCTTCTATTATGAGCGTTTATGAAACATTTGGGTTATGAAAATAAAAAAAAACTGATCCATGGGTAACTTTTAATTAATTTGAAATATGAATTGCCATTATATGGGAAGTAAGCTATTAAAATCAACGTTACGGATCATATGAATTTACCATATGATAAGCTTTTATTTGCTATTATGTGAATGCAATTAGTAATTTTACCCGTTTTTTGTAGATCCAAAATGGGACTGATATAATGTATAATGTTGTTAAAAATTTTCTGTTATCAATATGAAAATTCTAAAGCTGGATCACTCATTGTAGAACAACATTAAAAATTGGTGTTTTTGAATGATACTCACTATGGAAGACCAAAAAACGCTAAGTGTATTTATTTATATCATATATGTACAAAATAATATATAGAATTTAAAGTATTGTATGCAAAAAAAAAAAAAAAGATAAGAATAAAAAAGTGCTAAAATTTAGATATTTTTGTCAGAATATCTATATATATATATAAAAAAGAGATAAATTCTAGAAAACAAACTTGAGAATTATATTATTTAATAATTTCAAATAAAAATGAAGATCAAAGTTTTACGAGATTTTATTTTCAATCTTACATTTCTTTTATTGCCTTTCGTTCGAAGTTTTGCGTACAAAATCAGCCCAAATACATTTTATGTTAAATTCAATTCCTCACCTTTCACTTCATCAATTGACCATATTGAAGCTCAACATGTTACTTTTCATAAAGAGTTAAATAAACTTGGAATTCATGTCAAAATTAAAGATGTATTTAAACGATATGCAAACGGGTTAAGTATTGAAACCGATGAACGACACTTAAAGAGAATCTCTGAAATTGAGCACGTTGAAGGCGTTGAACCTGTGGTAAGAACGATATCCGTGCGATTGCGCTAAAAAATTTCCTCATGACCCAGATAATAAACTTTAGGTTTGTTTACATTTTAGAAAATATATAGACGAATTGATCCAATCAACTTTGATCATAATGAAGCTTATAATCAAACAATCTTAATCGCTCCTAACAATGATATCAATTCTGTTCATGAAGTTACTGGCGTTAAAAAAGTTCATGAGGAATTAAGACTCTCGGGAAAAGGTGTTAAAGTTGGATTCATTGATTCTGGTATTTTTAAGATCTTTCGTACTTTAAAAGTCCAATTTTTTTTTTTTTTTAATTTGTATTAATGGTTACCTATAATCATTGCTAGGCATTGATTATACACATCCTGCTCTTGGAGGATGTTTTGGACCAGGATGCAGAGTAGCATTTGGGTATAATTTTGTTGATAATAATGATGACCCTTACGATAATTGCAACGGACATGGAACTCACGTAGCAGGAATTGCTGGGGGCATGGACCCAAGGGATGACGGACCTGGATTTGTAGGCGTAGCTCCTGACATTATCTTTGGTGCATATAGGATATATTCTTGCGATTCATGTGAAAATAACAAGTGTGCAAATGATGCTGAAGAAATTATCATAATGAAAGCTATTATAAAGGCCGTTGATGATGGAATGAAAATCATAAATTTGTCATTGGTAAGTAAATAATAATAATAATATTTTTTTTTCAAAAAAAAAAACTATATAAGCTATTAAATTGTTTTGATTTATGCAGGGAATTGATGGCAACAATAAAAACATGCTTGCAACATTGGTCAATGAACTAACCAAATATAAAGGAATAATATTTATAGTAGCGTTAGGGAATAATGGTTTTGATGGTTTATTTACCGGTGGATTGCCAGCGACGACTCACCATACCATTGGCGTTGGCTCATTTGAAACGAATAAAGTATTGAATTTTAAAGCTTTTGATCCGAGAAATCCAGAGTTTGTTATCAGTTAGTATATTTATATATGGATTTCTATTTTCATATTTTTCCATAATTTCGTGAATTAAAAAATTATTTATCTTATTTAGGTTATATTTCAAATAATGCAACGGCATTTCCTTTTGAAAATGCTAAAATTAAGTTATTTCCAATGGATAAATGTTTGAATGATTATAAAGAATTTGACAATACAGTAATCATAGTTGACCTTAGAAATGAATTGAAATGTCCAGAATTAACAATTCGTGTAAGTTTAATCTAATATAATTTCTTTTTTTTCTTTTTTTTTTTTTTTAAAAAAAAAAATATATTTCCTTTTAAAAAAATAAATTAAAAAGCCAAGGTATTAAAAAATTTTTTTTTTCTAGCTTGCCAAAATAAAACCACTCGCAGTGTTAGAATCCTTAGATAAATTTGGTGTTCAATATAAGCAATTAACATATTTACCAACAAAGTACGGAGCGATGATTTATTCACAACAAACCGACATCTTAATTAAATATCTTGAAGAAAACCCAAGTTTAGAATTGGATTTTTCTGATAAGTACGGATATATGGAAGATCATCCATTTGCTGTCACTCCTTCTGTATTTACAAGTTGGGGTTTATCAAATGAGTTAGATATCAAGGTGAGAAACATATCAACTAACTATTATAATTAGTTTCAAGTAATTTACCTTTTTAAGAACTTTTTAATAGCCCGAGGTTTGTGCACCCGGAGGATTTATGCTTTCGGCTTATCCAGTTAATATTGAACCTTACCTGTTAAATTCTGGAACAAGTATGGCTGCACCGTATATAACAGGCGTAACAGCATTATATTATGAAGTATTCGGGAAACTAAAGTCACCCGAAGATATAAAAACCGCACTCATGAATAATGCCGTACCACTTAAAAGTCGTAATAAATTATTGGCCTCGGTGCTTCATCAGGGAGCAGGATTTGTTAACGCCTTTAATGCTTTGATATCAACCAGTTTTGTTCACCCACCAAAAATTAATTTGAATGATACTGTTCATTTTAATGGTTATCACAAATTAACTGTTTATAATTTTGGAAGGGGAGAGATGATATATGATTTGTCACATTTACCAGCTCCATGCGTTGATGGATATAATAATACTTTCATAGGTAATTTTTATGGGTTGAACTTCACAAATCAACATGCTGATGTTAAATTTGACAATGATCAAATTACCGTACCGCCTGGATCAAGTGTTGAAATCTCTATTACTTTTGCTCCACCAAGAGAACTACCTAAAGATGGACATTGGTTTTATAGTGGATGGGTAGTGATAACTCCTTTGGACGAGAGGATGCCTTCAATGACGGTTCCTTATGGTACATAATTTTAATAATTTATTTTTTATTTTTAGTAAATACTATAACGTATCATTTTTTTTTATAGCCGGGTTAGCTGATGATGCAAAATCGCTTCCAATATTTCAAACTCCAAAATTTCCTAAACTAGCTAATTTGACTGAAAATTACATCACAAATGAAGATCCGGTTAAATCATTTTCCTTTAATACAAGTATTAGGTTATTAATTGATAAACCAATCGTGCACCTTGGACTTGCAACTCCTACAGAAATGATCGTTACTGAAATACTTGACGCAAATCAGGAGTTTTTAGGATTTGTGAAGGATTATACTGGAATTAAAATTATGAAAAATCCGGTAGAAACATCGAATAATTTGGTTTCATGGAATGGAATTATTTATAATATAAATGATACGGGTACTCTCGCTCCTAACGGGGAATACTTTATTAGGATTAAAGCGTTAAAATTATTTGGTGATAAGAATAACGAGAAGGATTATGAATATTGGATTAGCCCCAAATTTAGAGTTGAGAAGCCGATCTTTACTAATCCTTTGCAATGATGAAGATACTGTATCTTAGAATAGGAAGTAGTTTAGCGTTGATGCTATTCTTATGATTCATTATTAAGTCTATCGTGTGATTTTAAATCTCAACGGTAATATTACTAATACATGTATGAGTATATAATAAATGATTAGAATCATTTTTGAGCTTAAACCCATAAAATGATAGTTAAAAAAAAAAAGGTTAGAATGATCACGTGAAAATAATTTCTTGAGAATGCCATATAACCGAGGGGTCAACTACTTAAAATCTGTGCTAACTAGGATCGTTTCAAAATCACGACAGAGAATGAGACATGTTTGGGCACTTGACTGAGATTTGGAGGCTCTACAAATTGAATACAAATAATATTGAATCATCATCACCATTACATCATTGTCGATGATTTAATATTCTTTGTCAAGTATAAATAAGACACGTTTTCGTATGTTTGAGTAAAATAATGTCAACGACAAAGTATCGAGGAGCACAAAAAATCCGAAAAACATACGAGATCTCTCCAAAGGATAAATGAAAAGAAAAAGATCCAGAAATGTCCAGACTGCGAACTCATCAAGGACATAACGCAAGGGTTTTATATCCATTTTGGAACGATCATACCAAGGAGATATCGAGGAGGTTGCGGTTACCCACAAGGACCGGCTCTGCCACTTAGTTTTTGAACTTGTCGAATGGATCTTTGTTAAGCACGATACAAAGGTCATGGTACTCGGTACGGACATTTACGTTGATGACACCGAATCCGGTGAACTTGCCGAGGACTTATTATCAATCTTTACTATCTTCATGGCAATACACAATGGGCTCAGATCAGCCGAGAATCAAATTGTTGACGGAAGGTCAGGTTTTGGCCTGACTTTTGGACTTGAACCTTTATGGGATTCGATATGACTAACCTGTTTATTCACAATTTCAAGGGTGGATTTTGTTCAAAAGAAGTATAATAGTTAAAATGTTGTCCTTTCTTTTTTTTTAAAAAAAAATTTTAATTTTCGTATTAGATTGACGGATATATAATTCATATACAGAGACAACTTAATTATTATTATTATTAATTTATTTATTTTTTTTTATTTAATATTTCGAGAATCGATGATTCGATAGTCTGATTTTGTTGGTCAATTTTGTACTTATCGCTAAATAAAATATATTTGAGTTTATTGATTGTGATGAGCAAATTGTAAAGATGGTAAAAAATTATGAATTTATATTATTAGGTGAATTATCAATTGCCCTTAATCATAAGATATTATTCCCAATGAATTTCACGATGACTTATATTATTAAATTTTTAAAAAACTTTGGTTTAATTGATATTTAATAAGAAAAGGTGCTGCTGCATACACGTTTGAAAACGAGATTTACTATTTAATCATTTGTAAAATCCATACAATTCATGCCTTCAAATAAAGAAAAGTGAGGTTTTGTAAAATTTATAAATTTACAAATTTATGAAAAGTTTACGATTAAAAATGTTTTTGATTCATCATTTTCTTCGTTGATCTGCCACATTATTGTGTTAACACTAACTGACAGTTTTTTTGTTTTTTTTAAAAAAAAATACAGAATGAAACTAACATCACTATTGATTTTTGGTTGATGATATTGGGTGATGGTGATGATTATGATGATGATAACTTTCTGTATCGAGTAATTTTTACACAAACAAATGTTCGCTACGAAAAAAAAATTACATTATTATATCAATTAAAAAATCAAGTTGAACTCGAGGTATTAAGATCGATCTTTTAAAAAATCAAGAAATGACTGGAAAAATCAGGTGACGAATACACATTGTCCAGATATGGCAATCTTTTTTCTTCAGTTCTCCCAAATAGTGTGTTAGGTTACATTTCTCATCACGTGATTAGAACGTATATATATGGATTTTCTATTTTACATTTTTTTCATGAGGGATTGATTAACTTTCTCTTTTCAACATTGTGTATTCAAATACTGCGGGGCAAAACCAATATTATTTTTTCCGTTATTATTTATTTTTCTTTAAAAATGTTTAAACTTAATAATGATATTCTTTACTTGATAATTGAAGAAATACAGGATGCCCATTCCCTCTTTTCATGCCTTTTAGTCAATAGACGTTGGTGTGAGGTCGTGGTTCCGATCTTATGGGAGGATCCTTGGTGCACGGGAAATAATCTAGATCAAAGTTCTTTGTACTACCAATTTATCTTGCTTTTATCCGACAATAGTAAAGAATTTCCAAATGATAAAATTCGATTACCCCAATTCTCACACCGGCCACTTTTATTTGATTATCTTTCGTTTTGCAAGAGTATCAATGCATCTGCTATAAACTATATCATTTCTTCCTACTCTCCTTCAGGCAGTGATCAATTTCATCTTCAACAAGAAATTTACCGTCTTCTTCTGAGGAAATGCTCAATGTTAAAGAATTTGGATATTAGAACACTTCAACTACAGATATTTTTATTTCCGGAAGCAACGAATTGTCTCGAATCGTTGTGTGAATTATCATGCGATAATTCCATGGATTCTGTATACTTTTATGGTATGGCACGTATCTGTCAACATATACAAAGGTTGATTATTACTAGTACAACCATTGAAGACAATGAGGGACTTGTTAGATTAATTGAAGTTCAGAAAAATTTAAAATATTTTGAGTGGTATGATAATTTAGACGTTAGTGAAATGAGAGTACACGCATACTTTGTAGGTGATATTTATAAGGAAATTTATATGGCCTTAAAGAAAAAGGCAGATACCCTAATTCATTTTATAACCAACTTTATTCGCATTCAATTTTTCACCAATGTTTTATCAAAGGTACTTCCGGAACTTCATAATTTAAAGGTATTAAACTTAGATATACTTGATCATAACCTTAAATATCAATTGAATATTTCGAGATTTCAACATCTTGAAGTCCTTCAAACAGGTTATATCACGATTGGTACGGTAAATTGTTTGATTAAAAGCAGCGGAGGATGTCTCAAAAAAATTTTAATCGGGGATTTTGAAACCAATAACAATAACCTTTATGATGATTCCCTTTTACTTATTCGTACCGTTCGTGAAAATTGTCCTTTAATTGAATGTCTGTCACTCGTGTTTATAACATCAGACGATCATTTCATCGAACTTGAACATTTACTTAGGACTTGTCAATACTTGAAGGTATTAATATTAGAGACGGTTGCCGATTTTGATGAGGATCAAACCATCACGTACGAACAAAGAGAGTTGGCGGGGGAAAAGTTATTAAACGTATTAATTAAGTCCACACCGATTAACCTAAGTGTAATTGGAATTTTTGATGAATACTTTTCAATTAATATCCTAAGAGAATTTTTAGAGAATTGGAGAGGTCGACAGGCTCTTTCTATTCTTACATCAAACAATGAATACGAAAATGAAGAATTTGCAAAATTAATTGATAAATACAAGGAGGAAGGTGTGATTAAAAAATTTAGTGATAGTGATGTGCAAAGCATTATTGACAATTATGGAATACCATAGATTGTGCGTTTGTTTTTATTTGTCGGAATGATTCATTTTTTTGATTTGTATACTAGTCGAACGTTTAATAAATTATTTAATATCACGTGATTAATATATTGCAAGTTCGATTCCTTGATATATTATACAATTTCTTTACGTTACATCATTATTACTTTCTTTGTCTGGTGATATTAAAGGTTTTTTCATCAACCAAGGAGTATAATTAATTACATCCGATTTTATTGATCGATACAAATGTTATAAAGATTTGGTGCTTATGATATCTTTCTTTCGTAATTTACGGTCTGTTTATAGGAAAAGTATTGGGTATAAGATCTTTCAACATCAAAGATTTTATTAACTAGCGTGATATTACTTAAAGGCATCATAATGCAAATTTTGGCTTGAAGGATAATTGAAGATCAAAGAATTAAATTTGAATGAAAAGAATTAATTACGAAAAAATAGGTATTTATGTAATAATATTTCATACTTATAATCATATAACAGAGAACCTTCAGTATTTCACAACTTAAGCATCCATTCAAAGACCATTCTAAGGTCCTTAAATAATTATACTACGTCGGTTAAGTTATAAAAGTCGAATACTGTAACAACATAAAACGCGAATCTCTTGGCTCATTAATGATTTGAAGAAAATTTGACAATATAGAATAGAATCATGAAGCAATTTTATGAAATTACTTATATTTAACTATAAGTATTATTTAATTATTGGGAAATTGACATGTTCCCGTTTTCTTTATTAAAAATTGGGTTTGATCTTTTAATCTTGCGTTTGATGTCTGTCGAAGTTCTAATATGTGTATTACTTATACAATAGAAAATTTTAATACATAATTGACGTTTTTATTTTACGCATAAATATAGTTTGTCATTATTATTACCTGTTTTATTTTCCCTATCTCCTTTTTTCTTCAAATAAAAATGAATAAAATTTTAAAAAAAGCTTCGGAATTATTACGCCTTAAAAATAATACTATTATTATAGAAACTTTACAAAATATTTTACTACATCAAAACCTCAAAATATTAAGAAAAATACTAGGTTATGGTTCTCCAGATTTGAGTAATTTGTAAATGATACATAGTCTGATATGGATTTATTAACTCTTTATGATAAAAAAGTTATTGCATTGTTGCTATGTGAATTTTTGTAATTATCAAAATAAAAGAGATAAAAGGATTATAAGCAAATTCATTGTATAATGGAATCTGTGATATAAACAGATTTTAATTATTTAAAGATAAAGAATTATTTAATATAAAAAGATTTTAACATTCTAGGATAATTGAACTTGAAGAAATTAACAATAGAAAATATAATAGTGCAAAAAGAAAAAAAATGATTAATACCTTTGATCATTCTAAAATATTAAATAAAACATCAAATGATTACTTAGATGAGTATTTTTTATGGTATATTATAAAATAAAGGATCTTATTAATAATATTATAGCTGAATATTTTAAGGAATAAAATGATAGAA